TATCAGATGTTACAGACTGTATATGGGATGGAGCTTGGGCCTGCATATCATGACCACAAGGTCTTACAACATTGTCTTTCAACATTGTCTTTCAACATTGTCTTTCAACATTGTCTCTCAACATCATTGTTCAACATTGTCAACACTGTCCAGCTTCACTGGAGCATCACAATACAATCTAGAACAAGTGCTTATACAAAATTCAATTATCAAATGAGTGCACAATGCAAGTCACAAGTGAGTGTATGAGAGCTGTGAAAGCTAGTTCCAGGGCCAACCTGTGATCAAAATTGATAGCTGGGACAGCGCAGCTTGCATGGCACTTGGACCTGTGTCAACCAGGTGACCCATTGTTAAGATGCGCAATTCCTCTGTTGTTAAAGCAGGTCTAGGGCTGACAAGCAATGGCTGACCTATAAACTGCATTGGGGGCGCAGAGTGGACCAAATTTCGATGTGATTGTCTCGGTTGACAACAAATTCAAGCATCACTCACTCTGTGGCCCAATGTGAGCTGACCAGTGCAAAACCAACCGCCAAGACATGGATTGCTATTCCCACGTTTGATCATGCGCAGGCAGGAGAATGAGCAGCGAACAAAGGGATTCATTGTACGGAGAGCAGCTGAGAAAGTGCATGACATCTCTGTGGCTGGTGAATCGTGATAAATGCCGCAATTATCTTGCGACCAAAAGACTACACGTTCTCAGACTAGCTCTCGATCACCGGATTGGAGGCCTTGGTCATGTCGGTCAGGCGCTCCGATGTGACATGGCATGGGTGACGGAACGCAGGATGATGAGCGATAAGGAACACATCACCATTGCACACGACATGATGAATATGCGAAGTGAATGAACAAATACAGATGAGAAACGCATTGATAGCACGTTGAGCGAGATCAGAGAACGAATGCAAGATGATTTGTGTGTGCAATGTAGCATGAGTGACGCTAGACTTGGTTTTGTGTGAGCATGACTGGTTGGTGTGGTGTTATTGGAAGCGAGGCCGTTTAGGCACCTGCGGCAGCCCTGGTCTTGGAGCGCTTGCCGGTCTGTGCCTGGAAACCGCTCTTGATGGCGCTGACCGAACGTTGGGATCCACACTTTTCGCAAGTGACGAAGAAGATACGGTTCTCCTTTGTGAGTCTTGTTTCAGGACGCTTGCACGTCTTGCAGATAACGTATTCTGTGATGTATCGTCGGAGCACATTTTCAATCTGCTTTGGCTGGAAACGACCACGGATGACGAGACGCTGGGAGCCGTCGACAGAACCGATGGTACCCAACTCGGCAAAGAGAAACTGGATGACGTGCTCTGGTTGACGGTGCATACGTTTGCAAATGTCGACGACATTGGCAAAGACTGTCTTCTTGGAACCATCTCGCGCGACCTGAGGAGGCACCATGGTGAACTTTTTCTTGTCTCCGGAGAGGGCGGGGTTCTGTGCTCGGAGGGTCTTGAATACACGTCCAAGGAGCTCCTGATATGTATAGTCTCGATCTGTGCCCTGCCACGCCTCAACACCGTCATCGTTTGGTGGTGCTTCAGAGTCTGGTGCTGCTTCTTGAGCGAAAGGGTTGTCTCCGAGCTCTTCTTCGTCGACATGGGCGTATGCGTCGTTTGTGGCTGGCTCTGCATCGTCTGCTTGTTCATCAGCATCAGCGTCTCCAATTTCCTTTTCGAAAGCGTCGAGGTCGAGTGCGACCTTTTTCTTTGATTTCTTCTTCTTCTTCAACTCGCCAAACTAAATTGTGTATTAAGAAGAAAGGGAGAAAAGCACATGTTTGAGTGGGGCCATGAACGATTAAGTGGTGGCCATCATGAAATTTGGGGGTAAGACTCACATTGAGGTCGTCATCTTCTGCAGCGGGCGGATTGGACTGCTCGGCGTCAGCGTCTGGAGTTTGTTTGTTGCTGTCATGGTCAAGTTCGAGATCGAGGTCAAGCTTCTTCTTGTCCTTCTTCTTCTTCTTGATCATACCACCGAAAAGGTCTGCGGAATCCTGCTGCGGCTCTGCGATACCAGTTCCATCGGAAGGGGCGTTTTTGAGAGCGTCAGCGTCTGACATGGTGGAGAGTATGAAGGATGGTCTGATGAAAAGAGTTGGAGCGGAAGTGGAGGTTCAAACGTTGATCAAAGCTGGTGTGCAAATGCGTGACTGAAGGTATGCTTGTATGTGACGAACGTGATGGATTTGTAAATCACTTGTTTGAGTCGAATATAGGTAAAGGATACGAAGGAGGTTAAGGTGAGTGGAAATGATGTTGTAGAATAAAGAGGTAACGTTCGACTCAGTCTCCACGGTAACAGTACCGCACTTTTTGCAACCAACAACTTTTTCGTGCCGTTTGTGCGAGACAAGAATCGAACCGGACTGAGCACAATCGCCTGTCTTGACTCGCGCGAGTCAAACAGGTTTAAAATCAGCGAATTTATTGAAATTGTGATCGAGTAGCAAGATCGTTTTCGAATTTTTATTGTTTGCGTCTTCTTCCACAATTCACACTGTATGTGGATTCTGTCATGAATATCATAATTTTCTAACAAGATAAATGGGGTCAAAGTCAAGACACACTCTTAATTCAAATTACAATTATGAGCAGCAGCACAGGAACAACCCGGAACCGAATTCAATCGCAAGGGCCAGTGAGAATATGTGTACTGTGTAAGAAGTGTGCCTACATACCGAGCCTGACCGGAACAAATCGACGCACAGAAGGAGAGAGAGAGGGAAAGAGAGAATGAGACTTTACTGCCACCACCGACTGCTCGACGCCATCTGCCAATAATCTCGAATCTGGATTGTAATCCCATCCCAGCTTGAGAATCTTAATCCCCATCCTCTCCCTCCTTCACCCAGGTTTCATTCACCTCTCTTCTTGTCATCATCACGCTTGCTCGTTTTCAAAAATGGCGATGCTTCCTCGTGCCGCTCGTCCCGCTATGGCGGCCCTCAACTCGGCCGCTCCAATCGCTATGGCTGCCCGTGCCGGATTCCACTCGTCGTCCGCTCAGTGCGCTTCTCTCCGTGAAGTTGAGCAGCGTATCAAGTCGGTCAAGAACATCGAAAAGATCACAAAGGTAGGTTGTTTTCTCATCATCCATATCATACAATCCATCACATCCAAAATCTGCGACATTCAACCTACCAAGTTACACCTATCGCACCATCTCAAACCCAACGCATCCTTCTGTAGCTCCGATCATTACGTTCCGCGTCCAATCATGACTTCAATCTACACGCATACGCATTCACCACACTCACCCTCTGCACTCGCATTCCGTAACACTGCAAATATCCATTCATACTCTCTGACCTACCAACAATGTACACACAACTTGCTTCTCTCCTGCCATTCACACCCTATCCAAACAGTCGATGAAGATGATTGCTTCCACCAAACTCTCCAAGGCTCAGCGTGCCATGGCTGCTGCCAAGGCTTACGGTGACGCCAACAACGGTAAGTCTCGCACGTCGTACACACAAATCGTAACCGACCCGAATCCATACCTTTCAGCAATCAGCAGATTCTAAATAATTCGCATTCCAAAACCCCCATTTTGCTCCCTCTACACACCTCGCAGAGATCTTCACCAATTCCGAGGCCGTTGCCCCCGAGAACGGTCGTCAACTTTTCATTGTCGTCTCTTCCGATAAAGGTCTCTGCGGTGGTATCCACTCGTCCGTCACCAAACGTACCAAGGCCGAGTTCAAGAAGATCGGCGCCGCCGCTGCTGACGCAAGCTCTTCCGAGGGCCCCGCCGTCGTCATTCTCGGTGAAAAGTCAAAGGCTCAGCTCGGCCGCGCTCTTCCCAAGAACATTGCTCTCTCTTTCAACCAGGTCGGCAAGGACGTTCCCACCTTTGCAGACGCCACCGCCATCGCCGACCAGATCATCAAGTCTGGCATCAAGTTCGACAAGGTCAACCTCATCTACAATAAGTACGTCTCCGCTCTCTCCTTCGAGTCGGACGTAATCGAGGTCTTCTCTGAGGACGCTCTGCGAAACGCTCCCCAGTTCAAGCTCTACGAGCAGGAGGACGACGTCACCAAGGACCTTGCCGAATTCTCGTTCGCCAACGCCATCTACGCTGCTCTCGTCGAGGGTCACGCTTCCGAAATCAACTCGAAGCGTAACGCCATGGATAACGCTTCCAAGAACGCCGGTGACATGATCTCTTCGCTCAACATGATTTACAACCGTGGACGACAGGCCGCTATCACCAACGACTTGGTCGACATCATTACCGGTGCTTCCGCCCTTTAAGCGCCTCGATGTTTAAAGAAGCAAACTTCAGTTCAGCGACATGCATGTACCCGATCGGTCTTCTCGCGTAGATCAGTAATCCAGATAGCTCATTTATGTCATCGCTCGGTTCGACGACTGTGCCAGGAAACACTGTGCGATGATTCGGGAAGGGGTGCGATGTGCTGACTGCAGTGCAAGTGCAAGTGGGACTGACACAGAGACACGTGTCGCAACCTGATTCGGCATGGTCCCACAAACAATGTTTGCAAACTGCACACAGAAGAGCTGCACGAGTAGAGATTGTCTGAGTCATTACCGATGCACCATGAGGGTGGCAATTATCCGCATGCTCGCTGAGCGTGTTTTGCTGCGAGTGAGTTAGACCGAGTGAACTTTTCGTTTGCAAAGCGGTAATACTAAGGACAGGGCGATGCGCCCTCGAGAATCGGTGACACTGCGTTGGCACGACGTAAGGGCAGGTTGATGAGGAACTTGTAAGGCACCTTCGACTTTTTCCCATGCCGAATCTCATTGAGCTCGTGTTGCAGCGCTCCGATCAATCCGCCTCATTGCTCCCATAAGTCAGTCCATTCCGCCTCATCTTCCAGTGCTAATGTCCCAGCTTATGACGAAAGCTATTGCCAAGTCGCCGTGTCCATTTGGCACGCCGCTATTATCCCTTGTTAACCCGCTGCACAGGTTCATTGAATATGAACTAAATTGTCGTTAGATTACGCACTCTATATTGCCTCGTTAGCGTAGTTGGATTATCGCATCTGTCTAATACACGATGCCTCAGCTCGTCTGAGTATTTCAACAGAAGGTCACTGGTTCGAGCCCAGTACGGGGCAATCGTTTTTCCTGCAATTTTATTTGCTCTAACCGCTCGGAAATCTGCACAACCAACTTGGATCCTGAACTTGAATGTGATGGTGACAGGTAGTTTTGGACAGGTTTTTCTTGCTGGCTAGCAAACAAATTGGCATTCCTGATGACTAATTTTCTCGAATTGTAGATGGTTTGCAGTGACCTTGGCTGCACTTTTGCACACATCCAGGATTGACCAAGGTTTTCCAGGGCTCAGCAAATATGATACAAATCTGTCACTCAATAAGGGACAATCAAGACACTGTTCTTGTCTGTGTTGTTGAGTGTTTAATGGGGCTTGTGACTTTGATGTGATGTGAGCATCTGTTGCCAACCTTCATGTCTAAGTTGCACTTCTTCTTGCCAGTTGCCCTTGACTATGGTTACCTTTGAGATCCATTGAATCTGCCATTCCATGCCAGTCAATCTAACTAATGTGCCATTGGTTTAGCCAATCAATCATTGAATCTGACTCATGCCACCCCAGCAAATTTGTTTGCTAACAGCAATGTGTTGTATGTTAGGATTGTTGAGCTCCCAGGTACAGATGATCTAATGTATGTATATTTTCTTCTTTGTGCTCTGCTTCTGGGTCCTGTTGCAAAGTGCAGGTAACTTTTATCTTCCTTTGCAATCATATTTCATGCCCTTCCCACAACTTGTACTTCCTTGCCTCAACACCTTCTGTCTTTGACCAACAAAGTCCTCAATAGCACTTCCACTCCTATTACTGGCCTTACTAGAGCTCATCTTCCTTGCATGTACCATCATCACCTGCTCTTGCATTGGGCTCTTCAACCATCATGCCAACCAAAAAGGACAACAGAGACACTAATGGTGGAGGGGGCAGACAACACACTAGCCACAGACATGAGGTGAAGGAGCCTCCTAAGAGTAAGTGTTTCCAATCTCCCTTGGATGAAACCTTCTCATCCTCAGAACTGAGACTGATGCTTTGTTTGAGAACTTGTGCCATCTGATATTAACATCACTGCAGCAGGATGGAAGGGTCCCATTCCAGCCCAAAATGGCAGTCATGAGGAGGGCAAAGGTGAATCCAACGCTTTGATATCTTCACATTCACAATAAATTCCAACTGACATCATTTGGCGCATACTATTGCTCCCCTCTTGCATGCATTGGTTTGGACAAATAGCTGCTGTACATATGGGAATCAAAGGAGTTCAAAATGAAGTATTGTGCCAAGTGCTGGTGCAGGAGGCATACATTTTGCCTTCCTTCCTTCTGTTGCCCTATTGCAATTCTCAAATTGCTGCTGACCTTCTTTGGCTCTGCTGGTATTGCAACTGGTGCAGTCAAATTTGAGTACCATGGAGACCCAATTGATGCCAAGCATTGCCACTGCACTCAATGCCAATGCCTTCACAGAGCGCCCTTCCAGTGGGCTGCACTCTTCCACAAGACCTTGGTAAGGCTTGCAAAACACTGTGATCCGCTCAATCTGGACTTCTTCAGCATGCAAGAGGGTCACAGTGAACACAGCAAGCCTTACAAGATTAGCTGTAGGAATTGCAGGAGTCCAATGTCATAAGTGGTCTCCATCCAAAGCCCAGACTGCGAAGCTAATTGCAATACTGATGCTGACATAGTATCGTTATGGCCTTTGATTTTGATGTTGGACAGTGATGAAGGCAGAAAATGGTCATGGTGTAAGTATACAAAGTTTCATTCCCTCTGCTATTTCCCATTCTTGCCTCATCAAACTTCTTTTCTGCTTCTACCTCCCCATGCCCCATTTGTGGGCTTAACGGCTACCCTTTGTCATTTGTCTTCAAAGACCATCACATACCTGCAGCTTTTGCACCAACAGCACACATCTTCTACGGCAAGCATGTTATGGATTTTGACAACAATATTCCTAAGGTGAGTCACATGGCTCTCCCTCTTTGATATACACAATTGCACTGCAAGCTATCACTGGGAAGAAGAAACATATGCTGATAATGACAATGACCACATGCTGGTCATGTTTATAACAGTAGGCTGGCCCCAAGAACAGTTCCAAGCAGCTGCTGCATGCGCCAAAAGAGGAGACTGATAGAACAATGGGCAAAAGCAAGCAACACAAGGATGACCGCAAGTGAATCTTCCATGTTCCAAATTGCTTGGCCAGAGATGCACAAGCCTTCAAAGCTTAGTGTCAGGGGCCAATGTGCCTAACTTGGGGTTCCGTTTGATACCCAGTAAAATCTGGGGTTTTATCATGTTTCAAAATGTGTCCCGCTGGAAATGCGTTCTCTATCCAATTTCAATCTGAGACCCGCTGGAACCGTCCCAAGTTGACTAGCCCCCATGACCACTCCGTTCAGCGGTAGTGCGGCTTGTCTAGATGATTGTGTGACCTGCGCTACGCACAAGTGTCCTTAATGCACACGCTGGTCAATGTCTACAATGATTCCTGCAAACTTGAGCACTGTTGTTGTGTCTGGTAAGGCTACGGTGTGGGTTCCGTCGCTGCTATTGAGGTTCCGCCTACAGTGGAGGTGCTGTAGTGTCAGTAGAGGTGTTGACAGTTGTCAAGTATGTTTGGTTTCTGGACACAAACACTTTAATGCTGCAATACCTGGTGATTGCAGCGGAGACAAGAGGGAGATACTGGGAAATTTATAACATATAACTAAGGTAATGAATAATAGAGTAGATGAGCTCTGCTCCTCCACAATTGAAACAAATGCCCTCTTATATCATTCAAGCCCTGCTTGAAGTTTTTATCAGGATCCCTCTTATCAGGGCCTCCTTATCGGCACTAGCCTCCTGTTAAGGCCGTAGGGTCTAGATACCGCGGGGCGGCTACAGCCGGGACAGGATCTACGGGTACGGAGAGGTCATAGGCGTGGGCGACACAGGTGGTCGGGGGTCAGAGCACACTACTGCATTGCTATAGAGCTAACTAAGTAATACATGCGACCAGGTCCGGAGGCAACCTCATGTCAGGCGGGGGTGGGGTGGTAAGGTACAAGAGCTATCGGCCACCTCCCACCGCGGCGTTACAATGTTAGGTTGCCAACGGTCGTATTCTGCATACGGAGGGGCCAGCCGCGGTTGGGCGGTAGGAGGATCGTGTCAGGCCAACCGCTCCGCTGCGAGTGGTCCAGAGAGGGTTGGTTGGGGCCCGAGGGCCAAGCACCCCCTCTTTGGACTCCGGTTGGTAGGCACTAACACCTCCCCAGCTGCCTCTTGCCTTTGTACCCAGGGTTTGGCCCCCATGCTTGCCAGTTCTGGCTACCAGAGCCAGTAGCTGCTTATCACTTGATCCCAAATCCTACTGAGCCTGTTATCTGGACCCTCTGTACCTGCCAGAGATCCTTATTGCCCCTGTAGCGGCTGTCTATGTCCTCTGGTACCTGTTCACGGCTTCCGGCAAGTGTCCAACCAAAATTGGCTGGAAACCCACCTTTTACCGGGACTCAATACGAAACCCAATAAAACCAAGGGTTTCATCTGGACTCATTCTGAGTACCTGTAACACTATGAAATTGGCTGGAAACCCACCTGTTACCAGGACTCAATACAAAACCCAATAAAACCAAGGGTTTCATCCGGACCCATTCTGAGTACCTGTAACACACGGCTCCTAAGTTCCCAGGAGACGTTGTAGACAACAACTGGCGCTTGCATCAAAACATTCAGACAAGCCGCACTGCTGCTGAATGGAGTGTTCACAGAGGCTAGTTGACTTGGAACGGGTCCAGCGGCTCTCGGAACAAAAGTGGATAGAACATGCACTTCCAGCAGGTTTCATTTCAAAACACAATAAAACCCCAGGTTTCATTGGATATTGTATAAAACCCCAAGTTAGGCACATCGGCCCCTGACACCCTCTTGGGCCAAACTTTGAAGGATTGTACTGCAATACAATGTTTCTCATCTTGCATGGTGTTACCAGTAAAATTACTATTTTTGGTCAGATCTACAACTTTCATTAAGCAACCCTAACTTGGTTTTGTTGGGAGCCCCCTTGTGAATGTAGTTCATTTTGGAACAACACCAATGGTGTGGGGTGTGTGATGGCAACAAGCACCAATGTCACTAGACAAGGTAACTCATATCAAGATAGGAGCAATTCAATGGGCCCAATCAACAATGAATTGAATACTAAGCATTAAAAGCATGTCACAGGGTGAAAAAAATCAAGGATAGAATGGTTCTAAACTCAGTCAAGTCAACATTCTGTTCAGTCAATATTGTTGTGGAACACCACCACCATCTCAATGTGGACATTGCTTGCTTACCCAGTTCAACCAATCCTTCAAAAATGGCAAAACCTCCCAAATGAATGTGTAGCAATGCACAAAATCAACAGTACCTTATCAATTGAACATTGCTGTGATGCTTGAAAATCAACATCTTGTTGCTGTTTCTGTCAGCTTCCCTTTAACTTTCCTGGTGTGCAAAAGCTTGAGTAGATGCACTGGATCAAATCTGAAGTATCAGATCTCATTCAGCCTACCTTCTCTTTTCTGTTGCCTTGAGTGAAGAGAACTGATACCACTCTGCTTCCTTTGCAAAGAAGACTGATAGGCACTGCACACTCAAGCTGGTTTGTGATATCACTTTGTCAAGCAAAGATTGTGGCAACAGACAATGCAAATCTATGGAACAGGACTTTTACTTGTCGCAGAAGAGCAAGTGCATGATGATGATATAAAGCTTGTGGCCCTCAGTTATCTTTCCCCTTAGTGCAGTTGACCCTCCTACGGTGTTCCAGGGCAGAAGAAGATCGCATCATGCTGGATGATGATAGTGGGTCAATACTGATGACTGATGCGATTTGCGCTCTGATACTTTGAGCAGGAGGAGGGGGAGCCAGGCTCGGCTGGGAGCGAGTCTGCATGGGCGGCGGTGCAAGTGCAGCAGATCTCTGGGGCACTGTCTGTGGCAGCGGCGCTGTCTTGGCCCGCACACCCTCCAATGCGCCTCCAAGAGCAGCCTCAACACTGATCCTTCCGCGAATCGTGTCGTC